TTTATTCCGCTACATATCCGTGCAGAGGACAGAGGAGAGAGCAGAGGATATAACCGGAGAGACGACGACTGGCTGCTATTTTTGGAACATAATGTGCGTCGTCAGCGGCGAATTTTCTTCTTTTTTCGAAAACATTATCTATTCTTAGGCGCTGCTTGTGCGTTAATACCATATTTTTGTAAATACATACTAACATACATTCGCCATGTCCGTCACATTGTCCCGCTGTCCGTCCGTACGTCCGCTGGCTGTCTGTGGCATGGAAAGGGGTGAAGGGGTGGCGAACGGGGGTGGCCAAAGCAAGAGACATAAATTTTATAAAAATTGACCAAATGCCATGGGAAAAGCGCAGGCGGCTGGGGGAGCGGTATGGACGTGGGTAGGGGAAGGACGTGTCCCACAAAACCAAATCATTGGGTAATAGCACGCAGCCATGGACACATTCATATTCTTATACTATATGCACGAATGTACACAGTGTCAGTCATAGCTAAAGTAAAAGAAAGTTTCCCATACACTAGGATTGATTTGCTATAAAATTAGCTTCATTCGAAAATTGAAATGATTAAATCTTAAATCGTTGCAGAAACTTCAGAAAACTGTAAGAACATCTTTGGCTTGAAATAAATATATTTAGATGGAAACTAATTAAGCATCTAAGTTTTTTCTATAAAACTATAAAAGAAATTTGCGAATTTCTTAAAAAAGATTTTGTGGATATATTGCAAATTATACTTATACAAAGATCTATTTATGATACGATCTACTTGATTCATAAGTTGATATTCTGTCGCACAGTTAATTGAATTAACAAACGAATACAAATATTTAGAAGTGCCACAGACCGTGCTCCAAACTGAATTGGATTGAATATCTCTAGCACGCCCGATTATTGTCCTTTTTTTTTGGTAGAATGGTTCCACGTAGCTCAGCAAATTCCGTCAATGCTGAAGATCCCACTAAAACATTATCCTTCTACAGCACTGTCCTACAGTTTTGCCAGGCACTGTACATTGTCTCTCAAAAAGCTGAACTAATCAACGATCGACTTGTGGGTGAGTGAAGCAAACGCAAATGAAAGCCTTATGTTATGCAGGAGTTATATTTTATACAATACATAGGTAGCATATATATATGTATGTATCTGGTTGGGATACGTTTGTTTGTGTGTTGCTCTCGCATGTCTCGCATAAAATCGTTAACTCTGGTTACAATTATGATAAACATTAATTACAATTGGTTCAAGAACGGGCATACGGAACACATACTCGTACGTGCACACGTACATAACATACAGAGTGGAGTGGAGAGTATCTGTATATAGATATATATATATATATAGATAATGTATGCATTCGTTTGTACATCGTAATTATGTCTAGATCTATGTTCGTTTAGCTTTAGCTTTACCTTTAGGTTAACTTTATTAAATTTGATTTTGTGTGTGTGTATTTGCTTTTCGTCTTTGTGTGTGTGTGTCAGTGTGTACTTCTCAAGTTTTGGGATTGGTTTTTCGTTTACTACTTGGCCATAAACGTTGTCGAGGCATCTAATCATCTTAAGGAAAACATTTTCTATGTCAATAATAATAATAATGTTAATAAAAAAAAAAAAAAAACAATTACATACACATTTTGCGTAATATTAAGAGGGCGGGGCGTGGGCGGGGAAGGATCAGGATCGGGAAGGAGAAATGCAAACAACGCAATCACAATGAAACATTCGCTGGGCAGCATTCGGCTGCTCATTCGTGCTTCAGCGTGAGGCCGGGAGGGGGCTGCGACTCGAGCTGCTCGATGAATAGCTCCTCCAGTGGCCGATCACTGATGATGCGGAAGAAAAACAGATGATCGAGACACTTCAGACTGATGGAGCGCAGCGCGGGTAGGCGCAACTGCAGCTGGGCAAAGCGGCCATCGTCGCCGGGATGCTCGACGCGACAGTGCTCGTCCAGGCAGGCGTAGACCTTCTCGCGGCATTTCTCGATCTCGGCGCGGTTCTTAATGCCGCGTATGTCCGGATTGTAGAGGATGATGGCCTTGAGGCAGGCCAACTCGCGGCGGTCCAGGTTGAGGCGCTTCATTTTTACGCTCAGCTCGGAGAGGATGCGATCGAAAATGGTGGCGACGCCCGCCTTGATGGCGCTGTTGCGATGGTAGGAGAAGCTCTGGTTGAGAAACAGCTGCTGTGGCTGCAGCACCGGCGAACGCCGCTCGAAGGCGCTGTCGTGGCCCGTACCGGTGGCCATGGCATCGTCCAGCGACACAATGCTGCACCAGGCCACGTTGGCGATCAGCAGCTCGTTCCAAGCGGCCTTCAGCAGGATCACCTGGTCGTCCAGCGGCAGCTGTGCAAAGTGCGGCATGAGGCGAGCGTACTCAACCATCTGGTAGAGCTGTTTGTTCACCACCTGGCACAGGGCCGATACGGCCCCCTTGTAGTCCGGCTGCACCGTCGAGTTGGGGCCGACACGCAGGAACGCCAGAGCCCGGTCACCGCTTGCCGCCTCGGCCCGCTGCTCGGCATCCAGCAGTCGTTCGATGGTGAAGTCCCTGGATACGTTGTTGACCATGAACTCATCCGCTCCGTTTCCGCCCGCACTCCCGGCGCTTCCTCCGCCAACGCCAGAACCAATGTTGCCACCACCGACAGATCCTCCACCAGCACTCAGCCTGCCCGCTGCACTGCGGGCGCCGCGCTGTCGCTCCTCCTGCACCGCCTCGCGCTTCATGCCGCAGGACAGACACTTTTGGTAGCGGCAGTACTGGCAGCGGTTCCGCTGGCGCTTGTCGATGATGCAGTTGCGGTTCTCGCGGCACGCGTATGTGAGATCCTTTCGCACCGTGCGCTTGAAGAAGCCTTTGCAGCCCTCACAGCTGTAGACGCCGTAGTGCTTGCCACTGGCCCGATCGCCGCAGATGGAGCACAGGTGCTTGGAGCCGCTCAGCGGATGGTTGGGCGGATACTGCTGCAGGGCGGAGGCGCCGCCCGCGGCCGCCTGTGCCATCTGTCCCTGATTTTCGCTGCTGTTGCCCGATGGCATATCGTGCACCATGGACATGGCCTGCAAAAAGGGACCCGGGCTCTCCGCCTTGGGCGAAAAGCTGCTGTTGTTGCTGTCATTCAGCTGCGAGATGTCCGGCTTGACCTCCTCCTTGATGTGGCCCAGCCGGAAGCCTGCGTCCTGGTCGCAGTTGTCCATTCGACAGCTCTCGGTTCTACCTTTTGTTTACAGTTCCGAGTTCCGTTGGTTCTGGTTCTCTCCTAATATTTTTGTTTTTGTCGTGTGTGCGTGCTGCTGACGCTGACTTTCCCCTCTCTGCTCTGCTGGTGCTGCTCTCTTCTGCGCTGGTTTCACTTTGTGTCGTCAACGCCAACGCCACCGTGTCTGTGCGGTTGTCTAGGTGGTGCAGCTCTGGTCTGGTGTTGCAGTTGCCGTTCCAGGTGCTGCATTTACATAATCTCGCTCGTGTCGCACTCCGGACGCCAAATCCCGCTTTTGCAGACTCCAAATGCGATTTTCCAACAACAAAGAATGCCAGACTTTCTGACTAATGGATTAAAACCTTTTTTCGCGTCGACATTTTTTCTCAACAAAGGCAATCTCACCACAATGATTGCCCACAACTCACCTCATGGAGATGAGCAGTGTTTTGCGCAAACCCGTGACACAGATCACGAAATATTCTTTACGGTCACGGGTCGCGGCTTGGCTGCAAGTCAAAGCGGAACACATTAAAAGAAATGCCCACAACTACGATTACAATACACATGTACTTTCACAAAGATTGTTGCAGCATTTAATGGTATTATATATTTATTTTTAATTTGGAACCAGACCATAGTCTGCTCTGCACTGTGATTTGACATTCACAGCACTGGCGCATCTCTATGTGATCGGCCGCTGTTGTCAGAGTTGTTACACCGCCCGCAAATGCAAACATTTGTCCAGCTCATCAAGTATTTGGGCACAAATGTTTGAAAAAATAGCGATTTGAAGGAATACTTCCTGCACTTGTCAAACGAGCAAAAAATTCATATCAAGACCTTGACATTCGCGAGCAGATTGTCGGGCAGTTTGGGTAAAGACGACAGCCCTAGCAGCGCAGCGCCATTGCGTTTCTCACCACAGCTACAACAAAAGCAACTCTGCGTCTGTGTGGTTTGCCACTGTTGCAAATAAAAATTTCTGCTGCAATTATGTGAAAAATGCATATGAATGGAGAATGGGCCAATTTCTCCGGTGCCGGCCCCAGCCTCGACCCCAATACCTCTACGTGGCGAGACGAATCGGCGCAAGCGACACACACAAATAAAAATCCAGCAAACAGCAATGCCAACTGCCACTGCCGTCGGATTCAGAGCCGACAGCGAGACTCAAAAGTATTTACTATGGAATAATAGATATGCAAATGCAACTTACTTGCAGCCAGGGCCGCTTGATTTCTTGCTAAACGACGCGCACTTGTGTTTAAATACTTATCGGGGCAATCACAATCGGGTAACGCACACATACACTTGCAAAATTAATTTGCTGCAATTTTTGTAATTGTAATTGAGTCCATCATGATACAAAGAGACGCGGTAATATGCTATTCACACGGAACGGCAAGAAGAAGCACATAAAGTGGCGATTTTTCGCAAAAGAACAGCTGACTGTGCACTCGCTGCAGTCGGCAAGTATTTGGGGGTGCACAGAGTGTTTCCCAGCTGACACCCCGCACGCACTTACGCCCCTGGTCCGTGACCATGAGCGAAACGGGTGAATGTCTCCCAAAATGAACGGCAATGAATACCCGACTACAGTGAATTTTCAGTTAGTTCAAAATACGCGCTCAACGTGCCGGGCGAATGGCAAGCGTAGAACAGTGCTGAAGAACTGGTTCGGTTCACAGCTGGAAATATATTTTTTATCTGCATTAAATCGAATGTTTTTGCTCCGTATACGACAGTGCATAGGTGCAACCCAAACCGGCCGACTGATAGATAAGCGAATGTTTTCCCCTCACAAAAGTTGCTTTAATCGGAATCACTTGACAGCTGCGAATTACGCAGCGTTATTGCCTCCATGCGCTCGTTTAAGTACTCTATCTCCTCCCGGTACACGCCCGTTTCGTACAGCAGAGTCTCGTACTCCCGCATTATGCCGGAATATTCACTGTCCACTGTGCTCCCGCTCTGACCTTGGCTCTGATCTTGGCCGGGCGACGTGGATGGCTCCTCAAAGTCCAAGTAAAGCTGAAAGTACACGGACTCTTCGCTCCGGCAAATGGGGCACGTACTTGACCTGCAATTGAATGAAACGATGATACGCCCCGAGCTGCTGGCCAAAGGCCTGTGTCCCACACTTACTCCAATCGCCAGCGATCCAGGCACTCGTCATGGAATACGTGACCGCAGGTGCCAGCCAGGATCTGATCCGTCATACGATACCGCTCCGAGCAGATCGTGCATATCACACGTTGCTGCACGCTCATTCTGGCTCTGGCTCTGGCTCTGCCTAGATCAAAGTGGACTGCTGCCTGTTCGCTCTGGCTGCAACAGCTAACTGAGGAGAGTGCAGTCCAGCGGCTGATAAGCGTGCCAACCTCCCATGCCCAGTCGCAGCAAACTTTGTGCGCCGCCCCACAAAAGTGGTAATGGTAGAGTGTGCCAAATTGGGTCAACAGATCGAACCAGCAGCAGTCTGTCCGGCGGTGTACGCCCTGTGGCAAAGAATGTTTGTCAAGTCTCTAAACAAATGAAAACATATAGAAATCCTTTGATATGGAGTAGAATTTCAGCCTAGAAATTCAAGATGAGAGGCTCAAGAGTTACTTCATTTACTTTGTGGCTTATGAATAATGTCAATGGATCAAACCAATGAAGGGGCATACATAAATATTTATGTAAATATTGTCATCACTTTTCTGCTGGGACATTGATCAAAAATGTAAAGCAATCGCTTTGTGCCATACATTACAGACATAAATCCCAACTTGGTAGAGTTTAAAGTGCCTAACCATGTCTCGTTCACAAGTATTAATCGCATGTATATTTCTATGTATAAATATGTATTTGTTTATGTTTTATGTATATGGATAGGTACTCTATATAATTGATATTCGATTGCTTGTCGTTTGCTAGGGGGTTTTACATTTACAGAGGCCTAAGCAGAAATGGAATGTTTCAAAAAACAAAAGAAGAATAAAGAGCTCTAAGATTAAAGTTACAACAAAAATAGATATGTATATAGTAGCTAATACTAAACGTGTGACAACGATAAATAGCTAAATGTGTAACTAATGTTCTATTATAATAATATGGATGTAGGTAGGTGGAGGAGTATGTGTCCAATATTTAGTGTAAATGTCTTTTTTGGGTTAAGGGTTTGTGATCAAAAAGGAGTTTATAAACAAAATATAATAACAATGATACGAGCCCAATCGATGTGTGTGCGTGTGTGTGTGGTTTGTGTATGGCACAAATTTCGTATCCATTAACTATATCTGATCCGATTTTGTAACAATTACATATGATATTTGGAATTTAAAGCATTTCGTTAGTCTTTTGGAAATTTCTTTTTATCCATCAGCTTGCCGGTTGGCACTTGGGAGTCCTTGACTCCGTCGTGATCAACTCTAGCTGGAGCTGGAATGTTGCGTTCGCTATAAGACTGGTTTCTCTTCGGGCTGTCCACGTTCATGTAGATGTGCGTCTTTGGCGTTGTATTCATTGTCGTTTGCCTGGAGGAGGATAGCAGTGGCATTGGTGGCGGCGGTGCCTGCATCTGTGGCGGAGAGTTCGCTGTTGGTGTGGGCGGCAGCTCCTCCTCCTCCAGTATAATGTCGTCCCCCACCATGGTGATGCGACGTATCGATGCCGAGCCGTTCCCCATTGAGCCAATCCCGGGCCGGTAGAGGCCCACGCCGCTGGAACTGGAACTGTGACTGGGGCTGGGGCTGGGGCTGATCCCGCTGCTGTTGAAGCCGCTGTTTGTGTAGGAGTGATTGTTCTTCTTGAGCGGCAATCGTTGGCTGCTGCCGTTGCTGTGTGTCGCTGTCATCACCGACGGTGGCGGCGGTGCCGGCGCTGGCGACGATGTAACGGACGGAGGAACTGCCATCGGTGGGATCTGTGGCAGTGGCTGCGGCAGTGGCAGATTCGTTGATTTGCTGATCAGATCGGGTACCCGCGCCGTCAGCTCCAATGCCTGAACCGGACCCTGTGTGGAGGACGTGGACTGTGGCCGGCTGCCCGATGCTGCCGCAGCCGTTGCCGCTGCCGCTGCCGTTGCTCCTGCCGACATCTGGGAGACGATGGTGCGGCTGTGGTTGTTGCTCAATCCGGTATCTTTCCATTTCTCTGAAACGATTTGAGACCGTGACTTAGTGGAGGCAGTTCCCGGGTGGCGACGAATGGCCTCAGCCGGTACGTACCTGCGGCACTGCTGGCCCCATTCCCCTTGCCAAATGGCAGCAGGAGGCGAGCGGCTGGCTGGCAGAAGACGACCGTCTTGTAGGCCTTGCGATATTGCTTGTTCATGATCACATAGATGATGGGATTGATGCAGGCGGACAGGTAGAGCATAATGTAGCTGAAAATGTGCAGACTGGGGTGCTCCACATCCTTGTCGGCCACCTTGACAATGGTGATGGGCAGATAGCAGATGACAAAGGACAGAAAAATGGCCAGCACCATTTTGGTGATGCGCCACTCGTTTCGCTTGGCTCGCACTTCCCGCTGATCCTTGACGCGTGTCGGCTGCTGCTTGGCTGCGCCACCTCCCCCCGGCGCTGTTTCGGGCACATCCGTGGAGTAGCTGCTGCTGCTGTCGGAGGAGACACGACACCCGGCGGCACCTGGCACCTGGCTGGCATTCGCACCATCGCCGGACGGCAGCGAGTTGGCGGGGGCAGCCGTAGCCAACGGTCGCAGATTGTTTGGTATGGAATTCTGCTTGGTGGCATGCCGCTTGAGCCGCTGCTCGGACTTGTGCACCACCCAGAAGATCTTCGCATAGCAGGCGATAATCACCAGGCAGGGTATGACGAAGGCCGTAATGAAGAGCGTCGTCTTGCTGCTGTGTCCATGCCGATCGCTCATAATGGAGCAGGTCTGCAGTCGGGCATCGTACCCGAAGCGTCCCCAGGCGCCCAGCAGTGTGGGCAGCTGCATGCCGTACGAGAAGAGCCAACAGGCGGCTATCATGATGGCTATCCAGTGGCGTTTGTAGATCCTATTGTACAGGCTATGGTGCGTGATCATCACATAGCGATTGATCGTGATCATCGCTATGCACAGCAGCGATACGCCAATGTTTCCGTACTGAATGAAGGGTATAAGCCGGCACAGCACCTCGCCATGCCGCCATGTGCCCTGGACAAAGCGCAGGCCCTGAAAGGGCAACACCAAGGCACAAAACAGCAAATCGGCAATGCAAAGACTGCGGGAGAAGGGAAGGCAAGAATACGATTAAGAGGGGACTGACTCTGTGCTGGCTGGAGCTACGCACCTGATGATAAACGCTGCGGCCACATTACGCACCTTGGGGCACTTGAGCAGAGCCACAACCGTCAGCAGATTGCCACAGATGCCCACGATCATGATCAGAAAGGTCATGACTGCGGCAAATGTCAGCAGGGAGTGCGAGAAGCTGCAACAAAAACGAGAAGAAGGGGGAGGGAGAATAAGAATCCTTGCAGCTATCGAAAAGTGACGCGACCTTCGGCACCCTAGCACCGACGCCCAGCCCAGCCCAGCCAAAGCCCGCCGATTATCAACTCCATGGGCATGGGGCTTCCGCCCAGAAGCACAAGAATCGTTCTCTTTGTTGGCACTCCCCGGGCGGAGTCATCGCAGCGATCGTGTCAACACATCTCGGCTTTGGGATGCCCCTTTCCCTGCTGGTGCTCTTTGGACCCCACAACTAGTGTAATGAAGCGCGTAATATTAACGATCTCTTATCGGACCTTTCACACTGCCCGGCCGAGTGCTATAATTACCCATGGCTGGCCCGATAGGGTCGCAACACATAGCACCACTCGAATCGAATCGAAGCCGCTTCACCACTCACCCGCTCTCATCGACATCCGTTGGCGGCGGGGCCATCATCGTTGTCGTTGGCATGTCCATGGGAGAGAAGGCATCACCCAGGCTGGCCGCTGTCTCCTCACTCATTCTATAGCTGTGGCAGGAAGATACAGATGCAGATGGGATAGAAAGTCAGGCTGGGGGGTGGTTAACAAGTCAAGTCCAATCAAGTGGATGCGTTCAAGATGAGTGACAGCAGTTAGTACCTTCAATTAAATATAATTCCTATTCTGTTTAGTTCTATTATTATTATCCTGTTTTAGAGCTAACGTCGAGGACCGATCACCGATCGCCACGACCGACAATTTTCAACTGGGAGCGCAGTCGAGGCGATGCTGCCACTTGCGGCCTGTGCGTCGGCGCAGATGCACAGCATAGCCCCGGGGCGGGTCACCCTTTTGCTGCTGCTGCTGCTTCTTATTGGGAATGGGACTATGATAAATTAGTGTCAATTAAATAATTTAAAGAGGTCACACTCGTCTCTGTTTCTGCTACTGCTACTGCTACTACCGCTTCTGGTGTTTCTGATGTTGCTGGCATTTCTGGTGTCTCTCCGGCACTGCCTGGAGCACATCTTGGGGTGCAAAGATCAGCGTCGAACCTTAATTAATTGAGTGCCTTGCCTTTGTGTGTGTGTGTGTGTGTGTGTGTGTGTAACTGCCTGTGTCATCGCTATCCTCTGCTCTAATGTGTGAAGTGGCCCCTAATGGAGACAAGTGATGAACCAGTCACCAGCGGTGTCCCCTCAGCTTGAGAATGCAGCCCGCACTGCGTATACGCAATCAAGAGATGAATTCACAACCGCTCACCTGAGTCACACGGAGAGTTATCTGCCTGCTCTCATACGTTTCGATTGGTAGGAGTACTCTCCCACTCCCACTCTCCGCACACTCTCCACACGATCGGTTTCACTCTCTGCTGGCGTGTTTTTTTTTCTGTTTGTTTGTATCTGTGTCTGTGCGTGGTGTTATCAGGGGGGACTGGCGGCTGCCTGTTGTTTATTTTCTGCTCACGTAATCGACAGCGACTTCAAGTGCTTGCTTCAGCTGCGAATCTCCAATGCGATCCTCCCACTCCACTTCACTCCACTCCACTCCACTCCACTCCAATTCAATGCAATTCAATGCGTTCGTTCTCCGCTCTCCTGCCCTTTCCACCTATGCTCGGGTTGCGTCAGGTTGTGGGAGCGAGGGAGGTGAGTAATGCTTTTTCGAGCAATGTAAACAGTTTACGGCATTCGAATTCGGTTATTCATAAGCAAGTAAAGTGGTGGTGGCCCTGCTCGAGTTGTTGTTGTTGTTGTTGGGGACGCCACTCGGAGGTGGAGGCTGAGACTGTTGCTGTTTCAGTTGGTGATTCAAGAGCCGCGCTCTGTCGATCATGACTAATACAGTGCGAGTTTCGGCGGCACGCGAGGTGTGCTCTCGTGGGCCCAGCCTGCAGGTAGAAATTGTTGCGCCACACTCAGCATAATCACAGGGAGCACCACCAATAATGACCCGCAAGGGTTATCTCACTCACACGCATTTGGACAGGAACAAACAAACAAACAAAAAAAGGAACACAAGAATCAGCGGCGATCGGCAATCCGAATCAAATGTCACTTTAATAGATTACGGCAACAGCAATAAATGGGAATGAAACTCAACTACAAAACTGAAACTGAAACCGAAATCGACATCGAACAAATCCGAGAGCCGACAATATTTACTAACCGTAACGTAACGGCCAAATTGTATAGCGACTGGGCGTTTGCGTTTGCCTAGAACGAGTGCACTTTATCGAGTGTTGTTGGCAGAACGGCCTCCGTCGTCGCCGTTGTGATATTGGCAGTTGACAAATGCTCGGCGCTCTCTTGCGCTGCCTCTCTCTCTCTCTCTTCTGCGCTTTCGAGCAAGTCGTATTTATGCAGGGTGGGGCAGCCTCTAATTTAGGGTGCCCTGTTTTGTATCCCACAGTACATTCTCTTTTCCATATACTCGGTTTCTGCTGATAAAGAAATCTACTAAATGTCTATACAAAACGAAAGCAATGTTAACATATTGTTTTTAGACACAATTTTTTGTAGATTTGTAGCTGTTTGTGTGACTGCTGATACTGCCTTACCCTATAGCAGCATACCCTGGCTTGGAGCTTTGGGACTCTTGCAGACAGACAGAGATGGCACGCACAACAACAAGCATACCAGCCAGGGCAAATGCCGATCGTTGCGGTTGGGGAGGGTTGTGTGTGTGCTTGTGTTTGTGTGATGGGTAATGCCAATAAAAAGTGCTCAATGACTGCCGATCCACGATGAATATGTGCAGATACGCAATGCTTCTCAGAAGCAATTGTGCAGCAGCAAGCAGCAGCAGAATAAAGAATTATGTACGAATGTATGTATGTACAGCAAATCACTTTTGTATCTATGTATTTATGTACTTATGTACAGATAAAACCATTGATCCTGATAAGGTTCGGGGTCTATGGAAGGGTCAACGGCAACAGTGGGTAGAGGCAGCTTGTGTCCGTATTCTAATGTTTACACAATTGGACATCGACATCGATATTGGACATCAACGGTTGTCGGAAAGGGAAGACGAAGCGGTTTTTGGTGCCAGCGATCACTTTTGTTTGTTGTTTGTTGGGGATTGTGTGAAAAACATGATAGTTTATAGTTATCTAAACATACATACATACACACACGTACATACATATGTACATACATACGTACATACGCTTCAATTTGAAAATAATACATAGTCTGTTTTAAAAAACAAAACCACCAAGAAACATATATGTACATACATACATAAATATGTACATGTATTTTTTATAATAAATATCGGATCTGGTGCAGATTCGGTAAACTAGTAGATTTGGTCATTATCTAGGATGCAGCATTTTCAGTTTTCTCTTATCTTCAAAATTGTGAGTGCCACAGATTATCCCTAATATATTCAGAGACTCTTGGCACATCTGATATGGGGAATCACCGAGTTATGCAAAGTGACTCTTGTGAGTACTTTTGTATCGTGAACTTAAATATCTATGTACATATTCGTTGGTTCGCCTGCATAAAAACAAACAATTATGGTGGTCCGTCCAGTCCGTTCGGGGTCAGTTCATCACGTTGCCAAAGAGTTTTCCTCGAAATAGTTCGAAAAACGAAACTCAATTCAATTTTTTCTGCCAAACAAATGGCCCGCACCCGACCCGACCCGACAACTGTTGGGGCAGTGTGGAAGGAGAGGGTGAGGTTGGATGGAGGGTTGTTGCTTTATTAATTGAGACGACTTTCCATCGAAACTGTGACGCGTAAAAGACTTGCTGACGGCGTCTAGCAATGACCCAAGCCCAGAGTGCCTTAATCATTTGTAACGGGTTATGGGGGCGTGGCGTAAAGGTTGGGGTAGCCATGAATCAGCAACATGCTGCTTAAATTTCCAATAAATGTGATTCACAAGATGGCAAAAGGGTAAATGTTCCACATACGGGCCTTAGCTACTAAAGTCGTGAGAAAATCAATTGATTGTAGATCAAGAATTTACGTGTATTTCGGCGGTCAGACATGATTCTAAATTGTGTGTTCAATGATATATTTTGGCGGTATAACTTCGTAAATTTTTTGTTTGTTTTTATAACCGATCCTTAAATAGTATCACCGATTCCTCTGAAAACACAATACTACTAGTCCACTCCAGATATAACGGCCGGCCTTGGTGTGAGAAGAGAGAGGGAGCCAGAGAAAACGAATGGAGAGAGAGAGAGAGAATGGAACGATAATAAAAATAAAACGAAGTTCAAAAAGTAAAATTGAACATAGGCTTTCCCAAAGTCGGAAGCGAAAGTTGACAGTGACACAAAGTTGTTCCGGCTACAAACAAATTACAGATCAGAAAATAATAAGTTGCATGCAAAAAGGCAGCCAATAAGAGTGCAATTGAAAGGTATCAGAATACTTACATTGCATTTTTCGCAGACATTGCAGTCAAAGATTCGGCATTAGAAATCTCAGTTTTTATCTCATAATCGCGGCTCTTTCCGCTGAATGAACACGCCTCCAGCATCTCCAGATCCAGAGATGACTGTATGCACACAAAAACGTAAGCATTTTGTATGCCTACATTTACATTTTTTGGCATAAGTTGCGTTCTTGCTGCCAGTTCCAGTTGCTAGTGAAAGTTTAGACATCACACAATCATAAATAAAAACATACAAATGTATGTGCATATATGTATGAGCTATGTATGTACATACGTAGAGCACAAGAATTGAAAAGTTTTCAGTTTCTCGAAAATGCGTGCGTTTAATGGCCCAGGGCTGCGGCACAGCACGCGGCAGACATGGCTCGTCCAGGCTGTTATCCCACTTGCCTCGCCCAACCCTGATTTGAGTACGGCTATTTGGAAATTCCAAAAATGAAGAGAGCAGAGCAGAGCAAGCAACAAGAACCGTTCGAATAGCACGATCTCACCATCCAGAGCGATCGATCGAGCGAACAAGCGAAGGAAAGGAACGGCAAAACGCATACCCAGTGGGCCAGGAGCAAGAGTGGGATGGAGACAACGGGAAAAGAAGAATAGGAACAATGTAAACAAAGCGCCCCATTCCACAAAAACCAAATTTCCAAATTACCAAAATTACCCGATGATGAAGTCAATTGTTGTATACAATAAAAATTTGTTGCTGTTCTTTTTGTTTTCCTTTTCGAAAGTTTTTCTAGTTCGACTACTGCCCCCACCGTCCCCCAGCACACGCCCTCTGACGCCATCGACTTAGCCTGTTCATGCGCTTTTTATACTCTTTACATAGGATACTACGAATGGTAATATCCTAACTGATACTTTGCATCGATCCTTAGATACGATAGATTTAAAATTGAGGTGTTAAATATTGAATATAATACTTTCTAGTTATAAATTAAAAAATCTTTATATAAATTCTCTTTGTTCCTTTGTCTTTCTAATATAAGAAATATAAATATAAATAAAAAAAAATCATGGAACTAATTTTCTAATATAAAATTTAGTACGATTTAGATAAACTCGTAATATTGTCCTTAATTTCTTGAAATAAAAGTAAATTACATTAAAATTTATCTATTTACCAAAATGGTTACTTTTCTGAGTGCCAAAAATACGCTGAAACTGTTAAAGGTCTTTAAAAATATTATAAAAAACACTACGTAAATATATATAAAGTTTATTTATACATAATAAAAACGATCGTAAGTTTCATGGCTGCAGGAAAGGGTATCTAACGCGTCGACATTATGATATTCTGCTTCTCTTTTTGTTTCAAATATTCGCTTGGCCGCGGCCGCCTCTGCGCCCCGCCACAGTTTGCTGCCACCAATACACTTCATCCCCAGCCCCAGCCCCAGCCCCATTCCCATCCTCATCCCACCCATCCGTCTCTGGTGCGTCTTTGGTGCTCTGGGGTGTGGGGAGCCGTGGATGTGGAAGTGCGGAGAATTTAGTTTAGTACAAATTCGGCGCAGGAACCGGGCGCGTCACTGTCGAAACGGCCCTAACAGATCAGTGCCGGAGCATGTTCCCTCCCCTCCAGAGCCAGTCCCGCGTCCTGGACAAGGGCCAGGACAGCTTCGAGCTGAATGGCAGCGGAATGCTGGATGCTGGCCTGCGCGGTCCAGCGACCGGTCCAGCTGCTGGCAACGAACTCTTCCAGGGCTATTCGGATGAGCTGCTAACCTTCGCCTGGGTGGCCTGCATCGTTTTCATCATTGTGGGCGTTCCCGGCAACCTGCTGACCATCGTGGCACTCTCACGGGGTCGTCAGACGCGCAACTCGACGGCCATTTTCATCATTAATCTTTCCTGTTCGGATCTGCTGTTTGGCTGCTTCAATCTGCCCCTGGCCGCCTCCACGTTTATGGAGCGGGCCTGGACGCATAGCGATCTGCTGTGCCGGCTCTTCCCAATGCTGCGCTACGGTCTGCTGGCCGTGTCCCTGCTATCCGTTTCGCTGATTACCATCAATCGCTACATCATCATCGCACATCCACGGCAGTATCCCAGGTGGCAACACAGACTCAGCTTATTCGTTGTATGACTCCAATGGACATTTTGATTCTTTCAGGATCTACCAGCGACGCTATTTGGCTTTGATGGTGGCTGGCACTTGGGTGTTGACCTTCTCCATTATGATACCCACGTGGCGCGGTGTCTGGGGACGCTTTGGACTGGACACGAGCATTGGCTCGTGCTCGATACTGCACGATCAGTACGATCGTTCGCCCAAGGAGTTCCTGTTCATCGCCGCCTTTATGCTGCCCTGCATCTGCATTGTGATTTGCTATGCTCGCATTTTCCTGCTCGTACGCCAGGCGGCCATACGTGCCGGCACCAGGGTCGGCGAGACGACAACGGCATCAGCCGCAGCGGCAGCAGCAGCAGCATCAACCCAGTCCCTGGCCATGCCCAAGACGACGGTGGAGAGTAAGGAAAAGGCGAGCACTTCCAGCTCGGAGGCGGAGCACGGCCTGCGACCGTTTGTGGTGGATGAGTATATCGCATATATCGATGATAATGCCTCCACCGAGAGTCTGCCCATCTCGTACAGCATCGGTAAGCAAAGGCAAAGAGAGCAACCAAAGGATCAGGAGGATCATCAGCTGCCAGTCGATGCAAATGTGGTGCTCAAAGATCGCGATAAAAACAAGAACCAGAATCAGACACAGCTGGAGCAGAGCAAGAACTCCACGTACGTATTCAGACACTCTATGCCACTTACCCTCTTGACACATTTAATTCCCTTTTCTGCAGCAAGAATCCCAGTCCCGTTGCCAATCCTATTACCACCTCGCTGCGCACCTCCTTTACACGTTTTAGTCCACGCAAATCCCATTATGTGTCCATGGGTAACACATCGAATGCCTCGTCCATCTACCCTGGACGCATGAGTGTCAAGGATCGACGTCTGCTCAAGATGATATTGGTGATCTTTGTGTGGTTTGTCATCTGCTATCTGCCCATAACGGTGGCCAAGATTTGGAAGAGCGCCACCGAGGTGCATGTGTTCAATATATCCGGCTATCTGCTCATCTATCTGACGACCTGCATCAATCCGCTCATCTATGTGCTGATGAGCTCCGAATATCGAAGGGCCTACTGGAATCTGTTGCGCTGCCATGGCACACCCGATCCGCATCAGCATCGAAATAATGCCAATGTCAATGCCAATGCGAATGCGAATGCCAAGAAAAAGTTGCAGGAATCAAATCGACACGTGAAAACATGATTCCTTCCTTCCTTCCAAGTACACACACACACACACACACACACATACTTATATAAATGTACAATGAACCACAAAAGTAAAAAATATTTGCATTTTATACCAAATGACTTTAATATCTGGTTTTACATTTGAATTCCATGTTTAAGAACAATCGATGTTTTGTGTTTGGTTTTTAGTTTGTTTTGCTTGTCGCTAATTATTGTACCAATACATAGAGATATAAACATATATCCGTATACAGATATACGTATCTATAGCCCCCAATAAATGCTTCGAATAATTGATATATGTAGTTACGTTGTTCATCTCCCAGCAACCCAGCAACCCAACAACCCAACAACCCAGCTACCCACCCAGCAGCACCCAAACTCTAGTGGGCAACTTCAATGGCCTTGCAGTGGGCAGCTCGATTCGGGGCTATTCCGAGTGTATACTCGTAGTAAGTATAATCATAAGTAGAGCTATAGCTTAACGCTATTATTATCAATATACCATATACATAATGTATATGTCTGCTGCGTATGCGTACGAAACGTTTTTGGACTACTTATCGACTAGTAACACAACTAAATTATTCTTCCAATATAACCGCAACGGGTTCGGGCTCGTTTCGGCAACGGTTTCAGCTCGCTTTGGGCTCGTTTAATGCTCGTTTAATGCTCGTTTCCAGCTCGCTTCGAACTCGTTTTTGAATTGGCTTTCTTCCTTCCAATAAATATAGTTAGAGAAGAGAGAAGACCCCTGCCTGCTCCAGCGATCCAGCGATATCTGCTTGTATGTATGTATATCCGTATCTGTATATGTATACGTAGGTGTATATGTATGTATATCATCTATATGTATGTGTTGTATATCGTATATGGATTAAAATAATTCATAATTGCGATTGCGAGCTTAATAAAAGTGTGGCCCTGCTTTCGGGCACCATTAGTTCGTTTTTCCATAGTTTCCATATCCTTCATCCTTCATCCATCATCCATCATCCTACATCATTTCGCTTCCATTCAGACTGATTCCATATGCTCGGAGATCTCCAGAATGGGACTCTCGCTGAGAGGTTTGACCAGCGTTTGCCAGTTGGGCGTGAACAAGCTGAGCACTGGCGTCGATGTCTATAAGAAAAGAAGAGTGATCAAATCAGTTAAATGATTGAAATTCTTTGTGGATTATGTGATTGTACCACCTGTCGCTGATGACGTTGGAAATTATGTAAATATTATTCAAGACAATTTTTAAGAGTAGTTTTGATTTTTGAGTGAAAACATTCAAGCAATTCGGTTTTAGTTCGATCTTAAAGGAGGAATGATCAGAGTGAATGTACATGGGTCATAGGGTCTTCTGGGTTCATTGCTACTTGAGCTGGCAACAGTTTCAGCAGTCGCGTTAGGGATTTGGAATATGTTTGAGGTACTTGTGGGGATTATGATTATGGTGATTGTTATGATAATAATTATGCATTAGGTAGATATAGGGATAGGGTTCGATTTGGAAATGTTATGATCCATGGGAACATGGGGACTGAAAATCATAATCATTCCCTATATGGTTGGGATAGTAGGGGTTGGGTTGTAGCTCCTTAAAAAGTTATTTCGATAAAGTCTTTGGTTAAGCGAAGAATATTTTGCACTTGTTTTTCATCTGTGTAACTCCTTAAAAGGAACTTTTCTTGTCAATGTTCCCCCCAGCTTCAAGATCATTAAGATTCGATGGGGAAATTGAAAGATTTTGCTTAAGGAAGTGGGTTGCTCTCCGCTCTTGCTCTCTGGAATCAATGGCAATTAAAGTGAATGAAAATGCTTACATGATAGTCTGCCTCGTGGCTGTGCCCGTGTGGCGTTGATGGTTTGCACTTGACCGACGTAGGTGTGCCCGGCGCTGTGGACGGCGGCGCTGAACCCGAACCAGAGCCCGTGGCCGTCATTGAGCCTGGCCCCGAGCACGAGCCCGAGCCTGGGCCAGACGACGTTGACGACTCCGACGATTGGCCGGGCGGCTGGCTGATGTAGGAGGTCTTGAGGTTCATCTGGCTGAAGGCATGCGCTCCGGGCATCGTCAGCGAGTGCTGCAGTCGTGGAGTGCCACTCCTGGGGCGATCCAGCATGGCCAGCTCGTACAGCTCCTCGGTGAGGTGCTGCTCCGGCATCGGTGCTGGCGATACATGACCAAGGCCGAGTCCAAGGTTCAGTCCGTGATTCAGGCTATGACCGTGGCCATGGCCATGGCCGTGGCCGTGATTGAAGTGCGCAGTCTGGTGGTGCTGATGCTGTTGGTGGTGCTGCTGCGCCTGCTGCTGCTGCTGCTGGTGATGATGGCGTCCAGCTAGCTGGGCCTCCAGAGCGTACTGCTTCTGGAAGAGCTGTCGCTTCTGCTGGAGCAGACGATGCTGAAGCAGTTGCTGCTGCAGCGGTGGCTTCTGCATGGGCGACATGGGCACCGCCATGCCCGTCAGCTGGTGCTGATGCGAGTAGAGGCCCGGCGGTGGCGGTGGTGGGGCATAGCAGGCGTGACTGTAAATATCACCACCAGCCGACTCCAGGATCAGCGGCACTGGCCCAGGACCACCCGGAGATCCCGGATGGAATAGCCCATGACCAGGATGATGATGGTGGTGCTGCTGGTGCTGCTGCTGTTGGTGGTGGTGGTGGTGCGGCAGTGTCAGCAGTGGATGATGATGATGCGACGTCGGCTTGCCTCCAGGCAGCGCATAAAATTGACCATTCGGGAATTGACAGTTGCCCAGGCTGAGCTCATCCAGTCCATAGGGTGGCGCCGAATGTGGATGCGGTAGCGGGTGATGATGCGAATGCGAATGCGAATGGGGATGTGTGGCCGCCTCCTGCTGCAGCTGTTGGATCTCCAGCCAGCCATGCCGCTTCACCTGGTCGTAGCGGTAGCTGCCGTAGACGCGGCTGCTGCCCAACAGCGAGCCACCCCCGGAGCTGAGCAATCCTTGGGCCACCAGTCCATCGCTCGCCCTTCGCCCCTCCCGAAAGTGAATGGGCGAACGTTTGTCCAGAAAGGGACCACCACCCGCACTCGCTGGCGGTGGCGGCGGTGTGGGATTCGGTGTGGAGCTGGCGGTCAAACTCAAATTGACGGCACTGGGCATGTGGATGCACGAGTTGTGGCTGCTGTAGAGGGATCGCTCCGAGGAGTGCTCACTGGAGGCGGCTGCCCCGGCGGCGACAGCGACGGCCAGCATGGAGCTCGAGCCCATGCACGAGGGCAGGCTGCCAGAGGGCAGCACAAAGTCCAAGCTATCGTAGGCCCCAGCGCTGCAGTTGCTCTTCGAGGAGCCGCGACTCAGGTTCTGGCTGAGACTCTTCGAGTAGCTGCCAGAGGCGAGCACCCCGCTGGAGCTGCTGCTGCTCGCATAGGAACGCATCCTGGTGGTCTGACTGTGGGCATGACCGTTGCCATTGCCATTGCCATTGCCATTGCCATTGCCATTGCCGCTGCCGCTGTGTGCCGTGGTGGTGAGGTCACTGCTCGACTGTGAGCCTTCCTTGGCACCACCCGGAGTGGGAGCCTCGTTGCCCTGATCCGTCTCGCAGCCCTCGTCCGTGCTGGAGCTGCCCTGGGCTAGGACCTTTTTCTCAAAGGTTTTTTTATCGCTACGCCTGTTAAACGGATGAGCCATGAGCCATGATGGAAGGAATGGAAAAACACCTGGAGGAACACCTCACCTGTCGCAGTTCAGCTCCTGCCCAGCCTCATGGCCATTGCCATTTGTGCTAGCCGCACCCCGCCGCTTGGGTTTCTGTTTGGGAAAAGGAGTGAGAAATGAGAGTGGGCTGGCTGTCTACTACTTACCTCCACGGGCAGCGGACTCTCTTGCAGCGTTTGGAATAGTTTGTTCGCCTCGGCAGACATCTTGTAGCGAAAGCTCTGATTGAGATTGGCGGTGGAGTCAAAGCTGCTTGAACTCGACATGACCTTTATTGTCTTTTGGCTGTGATGTTGATTCTGATTCTGATTCTGATTTTGATCCTCGGCACGTGCACTGCCCGTGGCTAAGGCAGTGGCAGAGGAGGATGTGGAGCCACTGGCCTTGCAGCCACTGACTGACGTCTCCTGTCTGACCAGCTCCTCCTTGCCCTCAGCAATGGCCGTGGACTGAAAGATAAAAGGATTAGGAGCTGCCTTAGCTGAACTTTCGCCTCACCTGTTGCAGCAGCTGACGGCAGTCCTCGGTGCTCTGTTTGATGATGTACTCGCTGATGGTCTGCTGCAGCTGCTTGGATACCAATGGTCCAGCCACAGAAGCCACCGCCGGACTGGGCTGTCCTGGCTCCATGAGCTCACGGCAGCGTAGATTGGCCAGTGAGGGATTGTGATTGTGATTGTGGTTGTCGATGCTCAGCGAAATGGCCAATGGCCGATGACTTCTCGGCGAACTCGAGGTGAGGCTGTGCCGTCCCATGCGCGAGACGGCCGTGGAGGAGGAAATATTAGTGGCAGAGGGCAGAGGCGTGTAGCGCACAGGCAGCACGGGCATGCCGCAGGATTGTGCATCCTCGCCGCCATTTAGATAGGCGCCAGGAACGTGGGTGGGCAGATTGTGATTATGCAGCTGCAGCTGCATCTGCTTTGAGTAGTAGCCGGGATCCCCAGTGGCCAATGGTCGCTCGCTCATGAGCACAGTCTGATGGCGGCTAAGTCTTTTCTGTGGCTGATCCTTGCCCAGGATCGTCGTAGTGGTGGATATTGTCTTTGATTGATGCTGCTGCTGCTGCTGTTGCAGGAGTAGAAGCTGCTGCTGCTGCTGCTGTTGATGCTGCTCCAGGCTGAGCGATTGCTTGCTGCTCTTGTAGAGCAAACGGCTGGAGGTGCTGCTGCTGCTGCTGGACACGGAAACGGCACCACAGCCGGCTGGTGCCGGTGGTGGCACTGGCAAGGCACCCTCGGTGGGCCGGGCCTGCTCCTTCTTGTGACTGACACGATCCTGCAGCAGCAAATAGATGGCCGCCACATGGTCGTACGTGTTCTTCTTGAGGCTGGCACGCGTCTTGTCCGGCCCAATGCCCACATACTCGGCCATGATGCGGAGTATATCCTCGCTGGGCTCCAGCACCGTCTGGCGGTCCACATTCAGGTTGTACTTGGCAATCAGGGCATGCTCCAGCAGCTCCGGGCACATCCAGCGATGATGCTTGATCTGTTCGATGGTGTACCGGCGCGTTGGCTCCAGCACCAGCATGCGACGGATAAGATGTTCGCACTCGGAGCTCATGAAGAAGGGAATGCGAAAGCGTCCCGAGAGCACACGATCCCGCAGGCTCTGCAGCGTGGAGCCATCAAAAGGAAGAGCTCCACAAACGAGCACATAAAGGACAACGCCCAAGCTCTGCAACAGCCAAAGAGAATGAATATCAGGGAAAAAGCGTCTATCGTTTTGCACTCACCCAAATGTCTATCTCGGGTCCCGTGTACTGTTTACCCTCGAACACCTCTGGGGCGGCATAGGGCGGTGAGCCGCACCAGGTGGCCAGCAGTTCTCCGGGCTTGAAGTGATTCGAGAAGCCAAAGTCCGCAATCTTGATGCTCATGCTGCAATCGAGCAGCAGATTCTCGGCCTTCAAATCCCTGTGGACGATGCCCTTCTTGTGGCAATACTCCACCGCTGAGATGATTTGCCAGAACTTGAAGCGTGCCGCCGACTCGGACATTCTGCCATATTTGGCAATGTAATCTGTGGAAGAGGAAGGCCAAGGGCAATGAGCATGGGGCAGTGCCTTCGGTCTAAGAGTTGGGACATCTACGCACCAAAGATCTCGCCCTGGCTGGCATACTCAGACACTATGTAGATCATGTTCTTGGTTTCCATCACCTGCAAAAAGGGAAGAAAATGGGTAAGCGGCACGAACTGGAAGGAAGATCTGCATCCACACCCACCTGATACAGCTTGATGATATGCGGATGTTTCAGACGCTTCATAATCTCCACCTCGCGGTAGACCTTTTGCAGATTGATCTGATCCAGCTGCGACTTGTCAATGATCTTGATGGCCACCTCGTTCTTGGTGATTCGATGACGGGCCAGCTTCACCACGGCAAAGTTACCCTTGCCAATGGTCCGCTCGATGTCATAGAAGCCCACACGCATTGGCTCCTTGAGCTTGAGCAGCTCCTTGGTATTGGGACTGGAGCTGGGAGACGATCCAGAGCTCGGTGCTGGTCCGGGTACCGGTCCCGAGCCCGTTACCGATCCTGGTGCGGGTCCGGGCACATTGCTGCCACCACTCGCAAAGAGTTTCTGGGCGAGCAGCACATCCTTGCAGGCCACCAGTGCATCTATGGAGGGTGCGGCCATGCCACTGCTGCATCCCTCCAGCAGTGACGCCTCTTGGTGTGGCTTGGAGGGAGGCTTTGGCTTGGACTCGTTCGACTGCTCCTCCTGCTGGATGATGCTGTTGTGGGACTGCGACTGCTCGCCATTCGACTGCTGCTTTTTTGGCTGCTCCTCCTGCTTCTCCTGCGTATCCGTGTCCAGCTCGCTGCGACTGCGACTGCGACTACTGTGACCGCCCGCATCCTCGCCGGCTGTCGCCTCGCACACACTCATTTTCCCAACTGCGCCACCCTGCCTGCCTACCTGCCTGCTGCTGCTGCTGCTGAAGCCACTCAGACGCGGGCGACTGCGGGACTCCGTCTTCGACTCAGACTCAGACTCAGGTGCTCAGATGGTGAGACAGAGATGGCGCTACAAATGATGCACATGCTCGCACTGCATGCAGATGCGGCTCTACTGCAGTCGCAACCGTCGGCTGTTGCTGCTGCTGCTGCTACTGCCCAACGCCGCCTGCACCGTCTCCCTCATGGTCTGGTCTCACAACCTCTGGTCAGGCTGCAAGATGAAGCAAGAGAGAGAGAGAGAGAGAGAACGAATGCAAAATAGTTCTGATAACAGATTAGCACGTGTGTGTGTGTGTGTGTGCGTGTGTATATGCTTTGCCTTCACCACCCCACCCCCACCATACCACTGAGAGTGTGTGACGTCGCTCTCACTTCGCTTTGGTGCTGCTGCTGCTCACCACTCACACGCTCTCCCTCCTACTCTCCCTTGCGCTCTCGCTCTCGCCGTCTCTCTTGTGTGGAAAAATCAATAAGCAGCAGCGGCCGCGTCGTAAAAATCTTCTCTTCTATCGTCGTCTCACGTGGAGGAGGATGAGAGTTGGAGCTGAAGCCTTAAGCTGGAAATGGAGCCTGAAACTGCAGACTGCACACTGACAGTTGCAGCTGAAGGCAAAGCTGATGAGTCCGCGAGTTGGCAATTACCGTTAGTTTGTACCGTCTCGTTTTTAGGCTGTCAAGACAACAGTTCACTGATGTCGGCAGCGACACTGGCAACACACTGGCGGCTACTGGAGACTAAACTTTGGCTTGGAGTTGCGCCTGTCCCGATTAGCTCTGATTGTGCCTGCTTGAAGCGAAGATTAGCGACTCCGGCTCCTAGTTTCTTCATTCACATCATTCACACGGCGTGAGAGTTATTGACACTTGCGTGGGGGGGCCACGGCGGTGGTGATGGAGCTCACAAACATGAGTAACTTTGGTTCCAATCTCCCCGTTGAGCTGCGTCCAACTGCGTCCGATACCGTCAAAAGCTCAATGCGCTTCTGCCGAGGACGACCCCGCGGCGACCCGACCCCCAGTAGCGCAGCGCAGCAGCGCCAAGGGTTGCCATGTGCCATGTACACTTGAGGGTTGCCGGCCGCCACCAGTTAGAACGGATAAAATACCTGGGACCAAGAAGCCCTGGCCTGGCCGACAGCAAACGTAAACGTAACCTGCCTGCCTGGCAACTCTGCTCCAGCTGGTGGGTGGCCATCGGAGCAATGAGCATGCGCCGTCCTCGACGACCCACACCACACCACGAGCAGGTCAAAGCGGGCAGCATTTGAATGGCACACACACAATGCGAATCGGGAACATTCCGAAACTGGAAACGAAATATTTTTTGCAGGTTTGAGTTTCGTCCAAGATTCGCTCATTGAACTCTATTCACAGCCGAGACATCCTTCAATTCACAACCCGATTTAAAGCTCCATAAATTCTGGTCCCTTTCCTTGAGAGATTCAATGGATCCTAAGGGTCCCCATGAACATATAGAAGTACGGATAGTGTCCACACATATTCACATATACGAGTAACTATATATATTAATATTCGCCTTTTTATATCTTTCTGGAACAGGCATATCCATATATGAAGTATTTTGTACAGTGGAACAAGGCAAAAAGATCCATGCCATATGCCATACAGCTCTATCTCGCTGGCACACTTGCCTTCTCGCTCTTAATCAGGTGATGATGGGAATTGCATTGATTATGGATAGGTGGATCTTGTTCGTCTCGTACCCTAACAAGTTTTACAATTATTATATTGTATATTAGTATATACACACGGAACGAAATACGCGCACATACACACGCCACAATATCATTCGATATACATACATATGTACATGGGACTTTACAAGAACACTCTTAAAAGCTTTAATATTACTCGTTGTAACGTCAGATCGAATCTATTTCTCTAACTCGCTGTCGCTGTAGCTGTCGCACTCGTTCTCGTTTCCTCGCTCTCGCTCTTAGGCAAGCGTAGGCAGGTCCTGAAATTCCTCGAAGTTTTACTTCGCAGCGAGTTTCATTTCCTGACGCTGTGGGTGGTGGACTGGTCCGGTGTTCAGGTTCTGATTAGTCATTTGTTGTCCAACACTTTAGTTTCGTTCTCCCTCTCGCCATCTCCCTCACCGTCGCCATAGCAGCGCCGCTTAAAGTCGCCAAAGAGATCCGGATGCTGCGGTAGGCCACGCTGCTGTGGATGCTCCACGCTGACCGACTGTGTGGTATTCCTGTCGAAGGAGAATAAAAAATATTTTAGTTATTACTGTGTACTGTGTGAGGGAGGAATGTCAGGCAGGCCACTCACCCTGTCTTCGTAAGCACTGTGCAGCCGTGCTCCACAACCATCGTGAGCGAGTACAGGTTGGCCAGGTTGTAGAGGCTGTCGGACTCGCTGATCTCCATGTCGGGCAGCCGGATCTGGGTCTGGCGCGGATCCTGCAGAAAGCGTGCGAGTCGCTCGTTCACGCTTAGCTTTATGCTGAAGCCGGGCCGATCGCCATTGATGCGACGACAGCCGGCGCGAATTTCGCGCACCTCCTGCACCTGTCCGGGCGGCGAGGAGGAGAGGAATGGGTTCGATGTCTCGCCGGACATCTCGCTCTCGATTTGCTTCACCGCCGGCACTGTGTCCACATTGATGTCCATATCCAGGCAGTGATTCACATCGATGAAGCTCGCAGTGGCATGACGATAGCCACTGGCCCCGCCCTGAATCTCAATGGGCTCCGAGGCGGGTGCGGGCTGAAAGCGTGCCAATTCCTGCAATGCATCCGTCAGCCAAGGCGTCTGTGCCTGAGGAGCACTCTCTGCGGCCACAGTGGTCTCCGTGCCCGACATGAGGGTGTCGTCCTCGCCAATCGTATCATCCGAGCGTATCTGCGAGAGCAGTGACTTCTTGGTGAGCTTCCGCTTGGGATCATACTTGCCCCCGGGCCCAAACTCGTTGCCCGGCCAGTCGGTTAGCTCGTCGTCGCCCTCGCGGCCAGTGTCGTGGCGCCTATGGCCTCCATCCTCGCTGTCCGATGAGGAGCTCAGCGAGCTTGAGCTGAGGAAATCGTACAGCTCACTGATGTCCATGGATTGCGCTTGCAGCGGCTGCGGCGTCTGGCAGAAGCGGCGTCGCCGATGGGCCTTGGAGGCGCTATTGCTTTTTTGCTGGCGTGGCACCTGTGGCACCTTGTCGGGTGTGCTGAGGAGCGACTCGATGTCGGTGACGGGCACTATGGTGTCCATGCTGAAGCTGCCCAGGATGTCGGTGACGGTGAGCACGGAGGCAGCGGGATCTACTGCTGGCTGGGGAGCACTCTGTCGCTCTCCACGGCCCGCTGACGACTTGCTTTTGGACAGTTCCTCCAGCTCCTGCAGCTGCTGCAGCTCCTGCGTGGACTGTCCGGTCTTCGGGGTGTCATCGTCATCGGCATCTTCGTCAGCATTGTCAGTCTTTTGTGTTTGTTGGGCCATGCGATTGATCTTCGATAGCAGTCCCTTGTTGAGGGGCAACAGGCGGTCGCTGTGCGGCTTGGAGGTGGAGGAGTAGCTGCGCGGTCGCATCCGCTGGTACTCCTCCATGTGGGTGTAGCGTGGCACGCTAGAAGAGTGCAGCTTGTTGCTGCACCCAATGCCCGAGCCGGTGCCTGGTTCCTGTTCGTGGTAGCGGTCGCGATTCGAGCGCTTTCGCTTTCCGCAGAAAAAGAAATTCGATCGATTGCCGGCATCCGCCTTTATCAGGCGCTTGCGAACGGTGCCCGTCGAGGCCAATGCCAAGCCGCTGCATGCGCCACCGCCACCGCCCAACATTCCCGGCTGCAGTGGGGACTCCGTGCAGCTGTGCGGCGAGGCGCCCGGATGTGAGTCCTTGCTGAATTCAAACTCCATGGACATGCGCTTTATCTTTCGCTTGCGCCGCGAGTTCGGCTTGTAGAAACTACACAGAGAGGGTGGGAGTTGGGGAGGTTTAGCTTACATATTGTGACCCCTCCTGCTCCTCGTTTGGTGCTTACCGTGCTGGACTAAAGTTCGTCTCGTTGAGGGAGTCCGACTCGAGCGCACCTGCCCCCATGCGAACGGCGGCCGCTGCGTTCAGCGTTTTGACTGGTAGGCGGAGCGGCAGCATGGCACCCGCCTTGTCATCCGAGTCGCTGGCCGCCAGCTTAAGGTCTAGTCCGTCTACGTTGGCACTTGGGTGTTGGTGGTGGTGATGTTGGCCATGGCCGTGTACGTGTCCGTGTCCGTGGCCATGACTGTGCCCGTGTCCGTGGCCATGTCCATGTCCATGAGCGTTCGCTGTGTCCGTGGGGCTGCTCGACGAATCCTCTGTGGGCTGTGGCGCACAAGCTGCGGATGGGAGCAGAGATAGGTGTGGCTTCAACAACATGTGGAACAAAATGCGTGTGTGCACTACTTACGCAAATTACCCGTCGATCGGGTTCTGCGACGTGAACCCCACCTACCAACGCCGCACGCCCTGTCCATCAGCGAGGTCTCCTCCAGGGCCAGCGTCAAGTCGTGCGAGAATTGATCCATTTGCGCCGTCTGCAGTTGAGCCTGCAGGCCGTGGTCTCACCGTATTCAATTGTGTTTCATTTATATATTATTGCACGTGCGCGGAAACAATAAAAATGCAAACCCAAAAGGCCCAGCAGCCAGACAGCCAGCGAGTATGCGATGATGTGATTCCGCGATTTTTATATTCGGCTTTGGATTACTAGCTAGCTAGCACCCTCAGCATGGATCATATAATTTTTAACTACTTACTAACTCATTTCCTAAGAGATTTCCAAATTGTAATTACTCATTTTCAATTGATTTTTTATAAAATAGGGTATAATTAAAAAAAAGAATCGTAAAAATTAATTCTGTGCATCGTAACTACAGGTTTGCTACAGGTTAACTACATATTTATGTAATTCGCGATGGAGACACCTGTCGAGGAAATGTTTACGTTTCACCGGTTATTTTTTTAACTTCATTTTTTTCATTAAAGTTTTGCACTACCTCCTGTACTTTCAGGGCATCGCCGAGGAACTCGAAACTATTGGACCGGAGAGTTGCCCAACTTAAGTCCATTACTTGCGAATATGTCTCAATTCCATGTGGTGCCATGTTTTCAACAAGTTAACTCCTAAACAAAGAACAATGTCTTCTCAAATGATTTGGAATACACATCCAGTGGGGAAAGACCGAGATTTTTATAGGAAAACGCAAATTGCGGAGCTGGAACTGTAACCAAATTCAGAGACCCACATATGTAAAATATGATATGTAAAATATCTAAAAGTGCTATCGATACTCGCTATCCCAGTTCAAGTGAGTACTTTTAAAGAAGTTAACTATCGAAAATCGTAACTATCGGTACAAATAGTAAGTCTGGCAACGCTCTGGTTTGTTTACGTTTGTGCGCCCGCCCTTGGCCATTCGATGTTAAATGTTTTATTTACTAAATTATAGAAGACTATATATAGCTTGCAATCGTAGTCGCTGACTGGAAATGCAACGGAACGCCAGCTGCTGGCCCAATCCTTGGACAAAAAAGGCCAGCGTCAACAAGTGGAAATCGTTGCTCATTCTTGTGCAACGTAATTTTTTGCAGATTTCATTCAATGGAAGAACCTGCGAGCTGAATCCGAGCTGGCCTGCTTGACGTACACCCGCTGCTGGGAGAGCACGCTCAGATCTTTGTCCACAATGTCCAGCTTTTGCTCCAGCTGCCGCTTCAGGTTGCGCACACGAAGCGTGGCCGTGGAGAGTGGCAATCGATTCCACTCGGCGATCAGCAGGCTGCGCAGGCCACGTGACTCTTCAATCAGTTCTGTACGCTGGGCCTCTGACAGTGGGATGCGACGGTCCTCCACCTTAACCTGCGGCGCCTGCTGCTGCTCCAGCTGTGGCTGCTGCTGAGCTTCTGGCCCTTCCGACAGGCGCTCCACCTCTGTTGATGCAGCAGGGCCAGAAGACAGCTCACTGCACTTGGAGATTCGGGAGCGTGCGCTGAGCGGATCCTCCTGGTCCACGTCTGTGATTTCTGGTATGACCGCCTGTCGTACCCGCGGCGGTCCCACACGCGACGAGTCACCTGAGCCAATGGATGAACTGTCGTCCAACTGGTCCAGCTCGGAACCAGCCACAGTGCCGGCAACGCTGCCCAACAGCCGGTGCAGTGTGTACTGACCACCGGCCTGGCAGCCGCAGCGTTGCTCGGCCACTCTGCCCAGCTCGAAGTTGGATGTGGTGCTTCGCAGACATCCGCCGGAAATGTGCTTGAGGCCCAGAGTTAGCGGCGGGCTGCATTCATCGCCCTCGCTGTGCGTGGCTCTCGTCTGGCCGTGCTCGCTGCACTTGAGCAGCGCCGCGCTGAGGAACACCTCGTCGCATATGTCATCCGTCTGGATTTGCTTCTCCGAGCAGCTTCTGCGAGGGCGCTCGACCAGAGCGCTCTTGTGGCTCACTGTTGCGGGTGCCGTGCGCCTGGCCAGCGAAGCCGCCGTGGGCATCTCGTAGCTGTGGTACTTCAGCGGCGGCCTCACGGACGACTGATTCACACGAGCGGCCAACAGTCGATTCTCGAGCAGAAAGTTACGCTTGGGAAACATTTTGCGTTAGTGGAACAAAAAACTAAAACAAACAAAAGGGAACGATGTGTGTGTATTGCGTACAAAATTGGAAACTGAAAACTGAAAACTGAAAACTGAAAACTGAAAAATGTTACAAAATGTCAGACAGGACAGACAGGACAGCCGCCGCGTCAGCGTTTTGTAAATGCCACATGGATGCCCTCACGTGCCTTGAGCACCATTTGTGCCTGCAGCGTCAGCTCGGGTTCGTCCGGGCGCAGTTCCAACCGAAATGCAGTCGCTATGCGCACCGTCAGCTGTTTCATCAGCAGAAGCGCGTATCGACGCCCAATGCAGACATGCGGACCGCCCGAGAAGGGAATGTAGCTGAAGGAAGCAGCCTCCGTCTCCGTCTGCTGCAGCCAGCGCTCCGGCTTGAAGGCATACGGCTGGGGATAGTAGCTCGCATCGTGTGCCAGGCCGTACATGTTGATCCAGAGCGTGACGCCAGCGCAGTACTTGCGGCCACCGATGACAGTGGAGCGTGTGGTCTGGCGTCCCGTTGTGGGCACAATCGTGTACAGGCGCAGCACCTCCTTGAGCAGTGCATCCAGATAGGGCAGCTCATTGAGGGTATCCAAATCCATTGATGCATTTGGCTGTAGCTGCCGCAACTCCTCCAGCAATCTGTGCTGTGCCTCGGGATGCTTGGCCAGTGCATAAAGGACAAAGGACATGGCCGCTGTCGTTGTGTCCACGCCCTGCAAGTGGTACAGAATAATCAGATGGAAGTCCGTGCTTGATGTTGAAAGCGACTGCCTACCGCAAACACAAAAGTGTTGACCTCGTCGCGTATCTGCTTTCGGCTCAAGGGTTCACCATCGATCTTGGCCAACAGGAGCGTGTCCAGCAGATTGAGCGACCTGCGGGGCACATCCCCCTCTTGCTGGAGCTGTGCGGAGCGTCGCTCAATCAACGAATCCATCAGCGTGTGGATAACCTGAAGCTGCTCGCTCAACTCACGCCACAGTTGGGTGCGCTTGAAGATCCAGTCGGAGGCCAGCAGGGGATTGATCATGCGCTTGAACAGCAGCTGACTGCTGCGATGGAAGGCTCTGATGATGGGAGAGTGGGCCACAGACTGCGTCTCCAGCCGCCCACCCATGGAGGTGTCTAAGGCAGTGAAATTGTAAAAGTTGTCTGCACAGCGGTGCACACTCGACTTACCCACGATGGCGTCCAGCAGACAGGCAAAGAGTGGATCTGTTAGCTCGAGAAAGGCGCCGCTGGTCGCCTCGAGTCGCTCGATCAGACGATCCGCATGCTTGGCCACACTGGGGCCAAAGCTGCGCAAAAGGATGGGCCGAAAGGCGGGCGTGAGGAGACGACGCTGCTGCGTCCAGTGGGAGCCATGACTTATGAGCAGCCCATTGCCGATGAGCGGCTCCAGCTGGAGAAAGGTCTCCGCCTTGCGCAGTGTGGGATCGTGCAGCGCCTCGCGCGTCTCCTCTGCTGTGTGCAGGAAAACCCACAGCTGCGGCCCCAGCCACAGGCGATAGGTGGCGCCAAAGCGATCGCGTAGCTCTGTAAAGACCAGAAAGATGACTGCAGACCCAAGGCTGCAACTCAGCGGCCAGATCCCAGTTCGCTTGCTACTTTTTACTCACACTCGGGCCGCAGCTTGCCCACCATTTGGGCGTTGCCCAGCAGCGGAAAAGCCCAGGGTCCGGGCAGGCTGCTGCCCAGGCGCAGCAACGACCATTTCCGTAGGAGCAACAGCAGTGCCAGGCCCAACAGCAACAGCAACCAAATAGGCATCTCGGCTATGTGTAATCGCTCTCTGACCGCCTCGTACTGACTGGCTGACTGAACCGGAATAGAATCGGGGGGAAGCCAATATCAATCAGCGATAATCTTCTGCCAGTATTCAATTGGCAATCTGGGTAATACAAGGTCCCCCACATACATATGTATGTAATCTCTGTGTATGGCTCTGGTCGCTGCTAACAGAGCAAATATTGCAACTCTTTCAACTAGTCAGATAATATTACCAGATATTTGTATGTACTTGTGTATGTGCTTAATCGGATTAATAAATTCAAATGTATATTTGTATCTCCGATTGCTCTTTTGCCTGGCTTTTTCCATCAAGCACCTTCCCATATCTAATCTGGCTTCGCGCTTAGCTGCACTTATGCAGCAATGTGCTGGTTATGGAAAGCCTAAGAAATCATTTATGGTAAATTCCATCTCTGCCTCTCTGCCTCTTGCAAGTTGATGAAGGTCCACCAAGGCCTCATCTCTGTTCGCTGGCTGCTAACTTAGCATGCCTCTGGAAGCACACCATGTTAGCACTTTCTGCTGCTGCACTTCACTGCTAAGTTAACATGTCTCTGCAACGACAGCAAATCATTTATTAGCAGTGAGCTTGTTAACATGTCTCTGTAACGGGCTGCACCAGTAACTTTCCATGACGTCACGTGTTCTACCTTGATCTAAGCCTTGATCATAGCTGCATAACAAAAGCAAAGTATGGGAAATATACAATTTTAAAATGATTAAAATAAAACAATTATTAAATTATAAAGTATATATTTAATATATAATTTAACATTGCACGATTAAAGAAAAAAATAAATAACGCCAGGACAAGAAACTGTAGTGGGATAAAATCCTTAAGACTTGTGTCTTCCAATCACACTTAGAACTTAGCAACTCAACCAAAACATAAGCTGCAGTTTTTTGGTCCTAGCGTTGTGAAATTTAATTAAAAGAATTTGTGATTCTCAGTTCCGAGAAGCGTTGGGGCGTAATAATTGATTTGCCAACCCAAGCTATCGGCAAATAATCAATATTCTCTGCAGCTACCAGTGCATGTACCGTTCAAGCCAGGTAACACACCAACAAAAACACACACACGAACATTAACAGTTGCATTTTCTTCTTGTTTATCTGCAAAGCTCAGACACAAACCCATGCTAACGGGTTGCCAAGGGAACTGTTAGGCAAAATATTGAATGTATTCAGCTGCAAAATTGATCGATGGGGGCTTGCTATCCCTGTGAAGAGGCTCAAAAGATTAATTAAATATAAAAATATGCGTACTAATTGTTACTTAAACTATATATTTTCATTGCAGCTGCATCCAAAGATGGTAAACGAGGCAACGCAACCGAGAAATGAATCATTGGGACATTGTCGAAGCTATGAATACTTTTTGCACCGTAAATTTATATTATTACTCTTTGAGCTGCCGCATTGAAGATCGAAAGAGAGAAAGCCTGAAAGCGAGCGGAATATTCATTGAGCTTTCAATCTGTTAAATGTCAATGCAGAAGCTTCCCCAGAACACCAATGGCACGCAGCCAGCAGCCAGCAGCCAGCAGCCGTAGGAGCTTAGAACATTTGATGAACTTTGTTAAGCCTTTGAAACTCAAGTAAAACTCACAATCGTGCTGCTGTCTGCTGCTTTGTGTCTTTGATCCTTTAAGGAAATCTACAGCACTCGCTTCGGGCGAGTCCTTTGTGCGGATGGAAATGCAAATTTGAATTTTAATTCGAAATCGAAATTTGAATTGGCCCTTTTGTGTTATCATTGCGCAGCGTGCCGAGTTATTAAATTTTTGTTTTGCTTTTTTTTTTTCATTCTTATTCCTGTTTTTGGTTTGCCGTCTTCTCTGCTGCCGGGTTATTGTGTTTGACTTGGCCTCCTCACTACTACACTCGTACACCGACACGGCCACTGGCCCCCGGCTGTATTCCCATGCCCAAACCCCATTGGCGGCTCAACTCACCATTTCAATTATCATACGGGGTGCGGGGGCGGTGAATGGGAATGGGGTAGGAGCGTTTTGAATGAAAGCCAGAAAGAATGAAAGAAAAGCCTGCAGCAAAAGCAGAAGCAAAGCGTAGCAGTTACAAGCAAGGAGAATAAACTTCAGGATGCCGAAGCGAAAGGTACACTGCCCTCAGGCTCTTCTCGTTACCAATTGCAGCTATCACATTTGAATAAATCATCAGAATTACACCTATCAAAAGGGGACTATGGCCTTTTGATATCCCTATGCTACTTAGCCAGCAATTGTCTCAATTGCAGTCGCGACCTTGGCCGCCAACCCGTAAGGGTATGCAAAATTGTGAAATGGTCAGGGCAGAGGAGCGTAAACAGCATAAAGGGTTTTGCTCCTTCTGTTCCTTTTGTCTCCATCATTCCCACTTCCAAGGAGTAATTAGTGTGCATTTCCGTTACACTCCTCTGAGTCCCCCCAGCCTTGCCTTGAGTTGCCTTGAGTTGCCTTGCTGCCACGGCATGCGTGTGTGTTTGTGCAACATTTGCGTTTCCACTTCGTTTGCGACAATCAAATGTAACAAGGGAGCGCAGAAAACAAAAAAACAAAAATGGATGAAAGCAAGAAGAAAAGAAATCAAGTTGAAGCGGAACAGGAAGAGGTGCAGCAGCAGCAGCAGCAGCAGCAGCATCTGGAGAGCCGCCTGCCATTTGCCATAGCACTCACCTGGCTCAAGTACTTTCATCACCAAAGTCGTGGCGCTCTACCCTGGAACGTGACATTGAATACATGCAACATTGTCTCCATTCCCAGTCCAGCATGCTAATCTCGCTGTAATTAAGACTGTCACTCATTCAGGCATTGCCACCCATCTCGGGGCAGTCTCTGGGTAGGCTTCCTCCCTCACTTACATCCTGCATCAATGTGGAAGAGGCCATATTGGAAATGCCTTCAATTGCAAGTTGCAGCTTGTGCTGGTCGTGCGTTTGCATCTCGCATGGGTCGAAATCCCAAGTTCCAAGCGCCTAAGTGTAATTTGTATCTTCTTCATCGCAGCACGGCAAGGCCACTCGAATGGCAATGGAATGGAATGGAATGGAAAGCCTTGCTTAACGACCACTCACCATGCTGATGCACATGGAAGATGATGTTTTTACTTAACTCTGCATTAGAATCACTCAACACGAAATAAAATGGGAAAGGCAATTCCGAATGCCACTCGGAAGAACTGAACATGGACATGGCAGGAGATTCATTTCGAAGTATTTACTACTAATAATAATAACATTTATTTAATTCAATGTTATTATTTTATTTTGTAAAATGTCCACAGATTTGTAGCACTTGAAATGCCATAAAGAATCCTTTTAGAATCTAGATTGAAGTCAAATGTTTGCGGGAAAATAGGTGCATTGCCTCGTCAAAATATTTTCATTTCTTTCTTTCTTAATCATTTAATGGCACTTAAAAGAGAATGAGCCACCAAATTGCGCAGCTTTCATCTCGTTAATTATCAACCAATAAATGTCAAGAAAATAAAATACTCATACTCCCGCTCCCGCTCCGTGACATAATTCGGAATTGTTCGATGCGCTTCCGTTGGGTGGGTGTTGGGGGGATTGAGCAAGTGTCTGGTTGCTGCCCATTAAGTTGTTTTATGATTGTCCGCCATAAATAACGGGCAAAACATTGCATTAACACGGTCTATTTATACGTTTCTACGATTAAGTATTCGAGTGCTCCTGTAGGTGGAGACGTAAAGAAATTCGAGATTTATGGGGCCCTATGGGAATGCGTGGGATGTTAGCGTAGTCCGCACCTTTACTTATTGCTTACACATACAGATTGTAAATAAAAACAGAGGGAGATCAAAAAATAAAATAAATAACAAACAAACATTTGTATTTTCATAATGTTTGAGCACTTCGCACTTCGATGGCGAGTTGAGGAAGGAAACCCCGAATTGCTTACGGATAAGTTTTGCTTCCAAGTTGCATTTATCCGTTGGCAGGGAAAGAAACTTCTTCTCAATATCGTGCTCCCACTTCTTGCCTATGGCGGAATATCGCGAGAAGCACGGAAGATGACGTCCTACAAAGTAGGGAGTCTTTTTGTTGGTGGTCAAACACTTGACCGAGAACTTGCTGGTACTCTCCAGGCTATACGTGGGCATTTTGAATATAAAGATGCTTACAATCAGCACGATTATCAGCACGATAATGGCAACAGCGTTTTCGTAGCAGAATTGGTAGCCAACTGCAAACTTCGATCGTTGATTGATTTTGATATTGATTTTGATTGAACTGCGTTGGGCATTAGCTCTGCCCTGGCCTCTTATGTTTGCGGCAATGGCTTGTCGTAGTTGTTGATCAAAGTGATGGCGTTTGGTGGGGTCCAGTAAGACACATTTGGCTCTGGCTATCGCCTGGAAGGCATCAGTGGCGCCGGGGCGTTTGTTTTTGTCGGGATGCACCACGCGGGACAATTGTCTGAAGGCCCGATTTATCTGCCCGTCCGTGGCTGCTTGTGGCACATTCAAAACGGCATAGTAATTGTTGCGGCACGCATTGATACGACGCACACCTTCCACCTGCTCGTCCATTTCGCTTTAATTCAATGAATAAATCACTTTGTTTTCGACTGCCTCGAAAACTGGTTCAATAAACTGCAAATGGCATACGATTGAGGTTTGATTGAAGCTAAAGTCAAGGCATACTGATGGAGAATTTCACGGAAGGAAGCTACGTGCCAAAAGGGAGGCACAACTAAAGCCCATGGACTAATGACAGACAGGCTGCTGGGAATGGGAAAACTGATAAATGGGAGAATATTGATGCATGATTCATGGCTTCATTCAGGGATTTGCCTTATGCTCGCTGCTCCCTAATTTGTATTAATCAAATCATATCTGGCCAAAGATGCTCGAATGCACTTTGGAAAACAAAATTCGCCTCTGCAAATCCATCCAAAATCCAACAAACTGAAAAGATTTTATATATAATAGCAGGGCTCATTGGAAAACTGATATTTCTGTTAATAGTCTAGCAACTGAGAATTTATTTAGATTTCCATGGCAAATGTAGTGCAACTTTTGGCCCCCCGAGACGCTCTCGCCTCGCCCATCTATCAAAGTCTTAAGTGTTGCTGGGGAGAGTGGGAGGGGGGAATGGTTTTGTGGCATGTAGTCGGAGGCGTCGGAGTCGTTAGAGCAGTGTGTGCGCTTTGGGGCTGGCTGCTGTTCGGCGTATTGATGTTCGGCAACTAAAACGTTTTGTTTATGGCTTGTGTCGGCCAACTCTATTGTGCGATGGAGTGGAGTCTGCTCCCGTGACACGCGCCATGGCTGGCAGCGTGACTGAAACTATCGTCGTGACTATATGTAGACACTTTTTGCATATCAAAATGATGCCTACTGATTACAGCCAGTCGAACAATTTGTTGCGCAGAAAATATGTACAGATCGCAGCTCAATTTTATTTATAGTTCAGTTGAAAGCTAAAACTGGGCGCAAGAGTAGGCTCATATGACATGTGTCCTTCTAGGTGTTGCGGTAACAGCTCGATTTTCCCCATGTTACATCGATAAAACTTAGGAAGTCGTTCACTCGCCCATCCCTAGCTGCGTGCATTTATTCCACTGCTTTGTTTTGTCGGCTATTTCTGTTATGCACTCACTTCAAACTACGCTCTTCCATATATGTACATACATACATGGAATGTACATACATATGTATGTATGTAGGCAAGCGTACTTCATACAAGAGTAAAAATGGTTTGTTGATATTTTAGAGTCTGTCTACAAGGAATGCACAGCTGTGTGCTTCCATTTCACTTTATTGCTATTGCCAGCCAGCGGCTTGTTGCAATTTTGGAATCTTCATTGGCACTTGAGCGGAATGTAAAGCTACATACACTTTTACATACATCGGTGCATACATCGTGTATACCTAAAGTTAAACTTTATGTTCCCCTTTGAGTTCAATGAAAAGTTACTTTGACTCGCCATTAACCCAAAGTTCCAAAGCAGCTGCAATTCAGCACTGAAATTGTACATATCGGCCTATCGTTCAAATCTGCCAAATATGTTTATATATATTGAACTTAGTGCCATGGAGCAAATGTGGCACTGACATACAGTTTCGAAACGTACTGCACAGATGTAAAATACATGCAAAGTAGAGACGCATTCTTATATAGTTTTTCCTGAACAGTCGTAAACCGAACATGCGGAATTCTCTCCCCCTGCAACTAAACGAGAAAAGAGAATGCAACTACATTAAAAAAACAGAAGGGGAGCATTAGATGTTTGAGAATTATTGCTACATGCATCCATATGTATTATGTATGTAAATATGTATTTATGTATGTACATTTTAGGAATTCCATTGAAAAACTATTGGACTCTTGGGAGATTTACAATATTGTTAAGGCAGAGCAAAGCAATTATTTTCGAGCCAACAATTTCATGAAATTTTCCAGATTGAAATCAGCAAAATTAATATAAAGCTTTAATGTAAAGCTTTGACCACTGCAACTATTTCGTATAGCTCCGACTTATATTTGGTAGACGAAATATTTGTAATTTGTGTATGTTTCGGGGGGTCTTACACTCGTAATATTCGGTTTCTTTGCGTAATTTTCTGTGCAATTTGGGTGCGCTCTGGTTGCGTGTTATGTGTGTGTGTGGGTGTATTTATTTCGACAACTCTATAATTTCCGTTCGATTGAATATTTTGTTGCAATTAGCAACGCTGACAGCTGTTGCATGGAGCTCCCCTGTATTCGGAATATCGAATATCAAATGCGAATGCTGCCAGACTGGTGAATGGGACAATGCGAAGGACGGGGGTGGTGTTGGGTGATGAGGTGATTGAATGGTTCGACGGAAGAAATACATAAATGCAAGCAATATATGCATGCACATACATATGTACATAAATAATATGTAAAATATGAGAAAACGGAACCGACCCAACTTCCATGCAAATAGTCGGAAGTCACCCACGCAGGGGCTTTGGGTAGAGAGTTCGATGCACAGGGACTGTGCACATATGCACGAACAGTTGTGCATTACATTTACATACACACAATAAAAACAACAAAATGTAAGCAAGTGCAGCTTGGACCTGTCCGGGAGACCCCTGCATGGCGATCTTCCCCTAGTAGGAACTCTAACGCAAGGTAATTTTGGGGATCAGCATTAAAACAACAACACACGAATACTGCTATCTCTTTCTAGCGCTTGTCTTCCTGCGAGCCGAGAGAGCGGGGACAACCTTGCTCTAACGGAAGATCTCTCTTGCTCAAATTTGCGTTACACTTCCTCTCTCTGCACTGCAGCGCTCCGTTCGGGTTCCAGCATGCATGGAACCACATGCAAAAACCAAAGACAGCAGCAACGTGGTTACCCCTTACCCCTCTGCCCCCCTGCCATCATGCCAAGTTGTGCAGCAGCTGCTAAGCTTTGCCTAGACAATTATGTATGTTTTTTTTTCTTTTTACAGTTTTTTCATGGCTGGCCAGCTCCTCAGAGTTGAAGCAACTGCTGCTAAAGTTTGGATTGACTGGCCAAGGGAATTTTTGTTCCTGATGTACATACAGCGTACATACAGCGTACATACATATTTATGTATAAATGTATGTCTGTGCCTCTGTAAATGTTTGCCTTAGCTGAATGCATCTGCTGGCTGGACAAACGCGTGAGACAGGGAGAGACAGAGTTTGAGGACAAGGACAATGCCTTTGTGGCACAAATGAAGCAGCAGGCGGAAGGGGCTGTGGGCTTGGGGTGGATCCATGGCAAATGCGGGCTCCCTCGACGCAGAAAAGTGTGCAACGAAAGACGAGCTGCAAATACAATCGAGAGAAATGAATTAATGCCGGCAAAGACAGGCCACCGTCCTGGGCTGGGGTTTGTAGTTTTCTGGGCTAAGGGTGGATCGGTCGTTCGTTCACATTCGTGCCTCAGCGAGTTTCCGTCGGATTTGCATGGTGAAAAGTGAAAATTGCCGCCCATCGATAAGCGGCTTAGGCGTCTGGCTGTCCGTCCGTCCGTCCGTCCGTGTGTGTGTGTGTGTGTCTGTCCTGTTTGATAATGAGTATCCGTATCCCTATTGTGCCACTATCCGTAGCTCAGCCCACTTATTTTTTCTATGCGTATAAGCCATGGAAACCACATCCCCTCCCTGCATTCTGCTCTACCATGGCACGCGCGTTTTTCAAGTCAACAACTTTTTGACAGCAGCCCTTACATGCCATGGACCAGGCTCCATACCGCCATACCGCAACGTTCGCCGCAAAGTATTCGAAATTAGCACGCAGCCCTGGTAAGCCGCACACACAGACACACACACACACAAACGCCCGCACACAGATACCCATTCACCTCCCATATAGAAAGTTATTTGGAGGAGGCGGACAAAACCATAAAAGTGAAATGGATGTCAGAGCAGCAGCGTCACAGAGGAGCTACCGGGCAACGACGCGTCAGATACCCTGCCACATTGGGCCCTGCCTGAATGGGCAACCGAATTGCTTCTGTGTTCGCTCAGCGTCTCAGCTTACTCATCATTCATTTGTGAAGTTTCGAAATCCGAACATTCGTTTGTTTTTTTTTTGGTTGCTCACTCTGCGGTGGGATATAATGGAACTCCTCTGCCAGAGTACGACAAAAGAGGTGGAGGAATTGAAAGAGATTCGGGTTGGGGTAGGGTGGGGCGACCAGATTATGACACGTTCCTGGTGCATATATTAATGGCGGTCCCAACTCCTGTCGCTGTCGCTGTCGCTGTCATATCAACGTGGCTGCTCCGGACCTAAACCTCAAGGCATCTTGCGGGTTTGTGAGATTTTCTGCGGTCTCCGGGTAGAGAATATTCGTGACAAATGTTCACGTGAGAGAGAAAGAGAGAGAGAGAGGGTGCTGTTGGTATGGGGTTTCAGCAAGGCTCTGGCATTGTGCTGGTCAGCAATCCATTATCTGCTTAGAAGCATCAACTGTGGATTCTCTCTCTGACCGCTAAGCACTCCAACAGCCGCAAGAGTAGACCCATCGATGGCTGTACATTAATAAACTTAAACTTAAGGTCCTGCCGTACCCTCAACCTGCCATTAAGCTCATTTTATTGGCCCAGCGAGATGTGTGCAAACTGGATTCAATTAACTCTTTCATCGATGAGAGTTTCGGCCCCAAATGCTGTTAATTATTTGTATTGATTTCTGCAAAATATCGAGAGCAAATCTACGCAAAATCTTTTTCAAGACGTTGCCATGGCGGCATTTACGGCAAACAGAATGAAATGCTTCCAACTTCTGACGCTGACGCTGACGCTGAAAGCAATGTGCGGCTGAAGGGATCTCTGTCGTCGTATTGCCATACAAAGTCATTTCTTTCTCCTCCAACCGTTCAGCGATTGCTTCATAAACTGTCTCCAGCACCCCCTCCATGCACAAAGCCCCGGCTTGAACTATGGCCACCGCCTCCCTAAAAGGCCACCTGCTGGGGCTTGGTGGCTCTTTGCTTGTTTGTTAAATTGAACAACTTATTTTATTTTTTCTTCTCGCCATTTGGATGCTTGTTGGCCGGGCATCAGGCTGGCAGCAA